CTGGCGTGTGCAGGCCCGACCAGCCCTTTGTCTCGGGCTGTGGTGCCCGGTGTGTGTCCCAAGGCGGGTCCCCAAGGCGCTGGGGTTGGGGCTTTGCCCATAGGTCCCTTTCGTTCCAAAGAGGACTTGGCCCCGGAGCGCCCAGTCCCCTCTGTCCACTGGGCTCCTGATCCCTTAACGGGATGTTAGATCGGGACTGGCCGCCCCACCTTCCTGTCTCAATGACCTTTGTTTTGGTTTGTTCATTCTATTTCTTTCCCTTGCCAAGGTAGTCCTTTTCCTTTAATCCCGGCCGACTCCTGACACCGAGGGGAAACCCAGCAGCTCCCGGCCTTTTAAGCGCGTTTTTACCCTTATCTTCGGCTAACCTATACTCATTTTGCCCAGTTTACCCGACCCCTATTTTCTTTTTGAATAGATTTTTTATTTTTAAACGGAGTCTCCCTGTCTCCCCAGCTGGAGTGCAGTGGCGCGCGATCATGGCTCACTGCAGCCTTGAACTTTTGGGCTGAAGGAATGCCCGCCCCCAGCCTCCCCAGTAGCTGCAAGAATAGGTGCATGCCACCACGCCTAATTTGTATTTATTTATTTTTGTAAAGATGGGGATCTCACTGTGTTGTTCAGGCTGGTCTCGAACACCTGACCTCAAGCAATCATCCCTCTCCAGTCTCTCAAAGAGCCAGGGTTACAGACATGAGCCAGCCGGGCAGAATAGATTTATTTCTAACCAAACGCACTTCCTTTCGTCAACCAACATAGAAGAGGCAAGGTTAAGAACTAGATTGCCCAAGTGTGACTCCTAGCTCTGTGACTTACTAGCGGCATAGACTGGGCAGGGTAGCTTTGTGTTCCAACTACTTCCTCCTGTAAAATGGCAATAAAAGTATACTTAATCTGTGTTGAGTCAATTGACATAAAACACAACAGTGCTTGGCAAGTGATAGTGATTGTTGTTTTTAGATGCCGACTACTTTTCTAATCTTTAGGATACAGAGACCCTGCTCCTCTAGTGTTTATATTTTAGTGGGAATTTTTACCAACCCTTTTCCCGAGTACTCATTGATAGTTTTATAAATATTAATATTGAATGACTCATGTTCTCAGTGTATTCGACTGTGTGTGTTTGTTTTTTAATTTAGTTATGATCTAAGAGAAGTTGGGACTGATGGCATGGCTTTAATCACTTTGCGGAGGAACCTTTGTCATTTATCGGATTTTTGGACACATGGAGTTCTGGCTGCTCTAAAACTTCAACCTGTAAATCGTGTTCACAAGATAGTCAAGGAGCGTCTGTGTCCTTGGTTTTGCTCAGGACAATCTAAGTCTTTCAGGGTCAGGTTCTGTCACTCCTGTTGTAAAAAGTTTCATCCAGAAAATGGAAATGACCGTCATACAGTTGGTGAGCCAGTGTTCACTCAAGTACATGGCTGGGACAGGCTTGAACAAAATGTTAAAAACAACGAACAGATGCTTTCCAGGAGGCTAAGCTACTTCACTTCATCAGAAGAAGTATTAAACTTTCTAAGCACTATGGAAACGCTGTCTGGTACTCTGGCAGCAGGAGCTTTACAGCGGATTTGTGAAGTGGAGAGAAAAGATGATCATCAAGGACTGCCGAGAGAAGTCCTAGAGAATAGCATCTTTCAAGCGTTGTGCTTCCAGTTGGAACAGGAACCCTCCCAGCTGTCAAACACTAGTCTGGTGACTGCTTTGCAAGCTCTGATCCTGTTACATGTAGATCCTCAAAGTAACCTGTTACTGAATCTGGTGGCAGAGTGCCAAAATCGTCTCAAAAGAGGTGGCCTGGAAGTTCACAGTCTTTGTATTCTTGGGGAAAGTCTGCTAAGACTGCAAGGTCCAGGTTGTGTGACACTAAAACTGATTATATATCAACTGCAAGGAGAAAAAATGGAAACTTTTACCCCGGAGAATATTGTGACTGTTTATAGAATATTGCAGGCATGTCCTGAAAAAGTGGACCAACACCAGACGTTTTTAAATAAGATAAACAGCTTTTCCCCTTCAATAGTTTCCAACCTAAGTCCTAATATGATCAGCCAAATGCTCACTGCCCTAGTGGTTCTTGATCAAACTCAGGCACTTCCTCTGGTTATAAAATTGGGCAAATATGTTGTGAGGCACATCCCACATTTCACTCATGAGGAGCTCCAGAGAGTCTTAGACGCTTTCATATATTTTGGGCACAGTGACAGATTTTTTACAAAAGCCCTTGAGCAACATGTAGCTGCCTTCTATCTCACCTTGGATCCTGAAGTTGTCAGCAAAGTCACAGAGTACTGCAGTAGAAAACAGATTCTCTCACAACCCATCCTCAATGCGGTGGCAGAAACTTTTGTTTGCCAATCAGAAAAATTTTCGCCTAGTCAGATCTCTGAATTAATCGAGTCATTTGGAAAACTCAATTATTTGCCCCCAAATGCCTCCGCTTTATTTAGGAAGTTAGAAAATATGCTGTTCACCCATTTCAATCATTTTCCACCCAAAACACTGTTGAAACTTCTTCATTCATGCTCGCTTATTGAACACCATCCAGTCAATTTTATGGCAAAAATATTCAGCCCTTTTTTCCTTCAACGACTGCAAGGTGAGTTGGTTATAACTTCTGACAGCTGGAAAAAGTAACCTTTGAACTTGTGATGGGGGGAATTAACCTCTGAACTCGTGATGATTTCAAGTCATGTATATATCATTTACATTGAGCATTGCTTTACCTTTATTTTTTGTTCCATAGCAATCTGAAGATAAAATGCTAGGACATTGAATAGAGAGAGGAAAGCTGTTTCAGATAAGCAGACTCTTCGTATAGCTAAGAAATTGCAGCTTTCTTATGGGGTATGGTGATGGCAGTGGTAGTAGCCACGTTAACATGTTAGAACTTTCGATGAGTGTGCAACTGTAACTCCTTTTTTTTGAGAGGATGGTATTGATTATCTTAATTCAAGACCACCCAAATATGTCAAATTTCTGGATCTCCGTAGTTAAAGGAAATTTCTGCTAATTCTGCGAACATATTTTGTCACTTTTAGTTTTATATTTGGTAGGTAGGAGCTTGGGTTCTTGGAAGTCAGTTTCGTTGGTGGTAAGAAGAGGGCATAATTAATTCTAACAAGTTCATTTCCTAGTGTGGTTTACAGGTACATTGCTTCTGCAATATATAAATTGAAGCTGAATGTTCATGATGTTCTCTCATTACCCATACCAGAATTCAAGCTTAACTATGACTGGGATGCTTTCTCTTTCAGGCAGAGAACCTCATTTGGACAAACTGCGTCGGGCACAACTGACCCAACTTTTCTTAACCTCAGTCCTAGAATGCCCTTTCTATAAGGTAAAAGTATGAACTGTGTGTGGTTTTATTTCCCTACTGGGGCAGTTTTCTTTTGTTTGTCCTGAAATCTTTTAAGTTCCTTCACTTTTTATCAGACTCAGTGCCTTTATGAAAAAACAGAATTTTCATTTATTTGGAGTTAGTTTCAACCAGATAGTCTCTTTTTTGATAAATTGACCCCATTTTTATGTTCTTGTTCGTGAAGGACCAATTTATTGCTGTGTAAGAATTTTCAGAAGGTTTTATCAAGTGCTGCAGGCATTTGAGTTATAATGCTCTTAGATTCTCTTTGAAGCATTTAAAGGGTTTTAGCACTCCCCGTAGCTGTTTGTTATAGAAGTGTAAATGTGTAGTCTGAACAACTCCTACATTTTTAATGAGTACAGTACATTTCTAAGCCAAACCAGGTGCTTCACTCTTGTCTGATGAGAGTTTAGTTTACATGGAGTTTACTCTTCCATTAAGTACTATAAAGATTCACCCTCATAATTGTCATATACCTTGTATAGGATCAAAAATAGCATCATCAGATTTGGCCTTCCTTGCCTGGTTCTCCATACTTGACTCAGAATCACAGTGAAGAGTATGTGATTTTCAGAATAAGGTATAAGAGTGAAAAACTATCACTTTCTTTTTAGACAGCTAAAGTTTCTGAGATAAATAATAGTTACACCCAATCTCCTGCCATCCCTAAAGGAGCAATGTTAGCAGCGGTTTTATGCCCAGATGGTTACAGATACATAACCATATATTCTCTTTTCCTGGATTGAAACTGTCTAAGCAAAATACAGTTTGCTTTTATGTTCAGTATGCCATGAACGTTCCTTAAAGTCAGTGCATATAGATCAAATGCGTTCTTCTTAAGAAAGCTGTGATATTTTGTGGTATTTATCCTACCGTTCCACTAGTGATGCATTTTCAGACTTTTTTTCCAGCTTTTATCTCTATCAGGAATGCTGTAATAAACATTCTTGCAAATCTTAGCTTACTAGAGCTTTTTTTTTTAATCTGTAAATTAGATTCCTAAAAGTGGGCTTTCCGGATTAACGTTTGATAGATGCTGACAGATGTTTTCCCCTGATAGTTACAGATGTCCCACTTTCCCAGCAAGGAATGAAGGCAGCCAGGTCTTCTTCCACTGCTGCTGTGTGTCATTAGTTCCTTTAATTTTTGTCGTTTGACTAAGTGAAAAAGAGTTTTCATATCACACATGTAAATTGTATTTTAATGAGCATCAGTGTAGTGTATTTTCAAATGTGTGTTGGCCATTTACACCTGCTGTGAATTGCCTTTCTACACATTAACTTATTTCCGTTTGATTTTTTTTAAGAATTCATTGTGAAATAGTATTAATATTATGATTGTTATACATATTTTCTCCTGGTTTGTAATTTTTACTGTTTTTATAAATTTAATTTTGTTTACGATGCATTTTTAAATATTCTCTGGGCAAAACTATGCTTAAGGTTATATCAACTTACTAACTTAAAGTATTATACAAAATTTTTTTAAAATAATTTTTTCTTATTTTGATCTTTAATCCACCTGGAATTTATTTTTACTATTATTTGTTTATTTGTTTTAGTTAACAAATAAAAATGATATATATTTATTGTGTTCATATTGCTTTGAATGTCTTTACTTTGTGGAACGACTAAATCAAGCTAATTAATTTGTGCATTACCTCACATAATTATCTCTTTTGAGTGTTAAGAACATTTAAAACTACTCTCTTAGCCATTTTAGAGACTACAACACATTGTTAATAACTATAGCTACCATGTGGTACCACTTGGAATTCATTATGGTCTTTGATGAATGAAAGATGTTTAGTTTAGTTCTTTTCCAAATGGATAACTAGACAGATACTGGCAGATTTTTTTCCCCTGATAGTTGTAGATGTCACTGTTTATTGCATTGCTATCCTTTTCTTTCTAAATTGGAATGTCACCTTTATCCCATTTTTCACTGCAGGTTGAATAGTCCTTGTGTGAAATACTTGGGATCAGAAGTGGTTGAGATTTCAGATCTTTTCAGATTTTGAAATATTTGCATTACACTCACCAGTTCAGGATCCCTAATTCAAAAATTGGAAATCCAAAATGCTCCAGTGAGCATTTCCTTTAAGCATCTTGTCAGTGCTCAGAAAGTATCAAATTTTGGAACTTTTTGGATGGAGGATACTCAATGTGTATTAAAAACTTCAAGTGTCCTGAAGGCCCTTAAAGCAATTCTAAGAGCTCCAGAGATGTTTCCTGAACTGTGAGCATTCTTGTACTATTTCCACTCCCTCCCTCCCCACACTCTTTTTTGTTGTTTCTTCTTTTTTCTGTTTATATGACCTGTGACTACTTTTAAAACAGGCTTAAAAGATATTTTGAACCATTAGACTGAAACTATAACAAGAATATTTTGCGTTGTCATTTTGAGAAAGATACCTGTCCCAATTCCTGGAAAAGCATCATGACTATAAAGCTATGTTGTGTCAAACTTTTATACCCAAGTAACCTTTGATGTATCCTTGGCTTTGCATCTTCTCTTTCTCATGTTTGCACATGACTTTTAGGGTCCAAAACTTCTTCCTAAATATCGAGTGAGGTCATTTCTTACTCCGTGCTGTTCCCTGGAGACCCCTGTGGATTTTCAGCTTTATAAATCTGTGAAGATTGGACTGATTGACCTTTTAGGAGCAAGATTATATTTTGCTTCAAAAGTGTTGACACCGTTTTGTTATACCATAGGTGAGTAGTAGTGGGAGTTTTGTTGCTTTGTACCTGTCCTGTCCTCTCATGGAGATATATGGAACTTAGTGGCAATAGAGAGTCTCTGGAAGTGCAAAGTAGAGTAATCCCTTCGCTGAAGGCAAATTAAAACTGGTTTGCAGTAGAGCTGTAGGGTCAAGACTGTTTGGGTTTAAGTCTCACAAGATAGCCACATAGTAGCAGAATATACTGGGCACAGTGTTTAACCTACTTCTCTTGACTTTCTCATCTGTAAAATGAGGGTAATAGTGCTCTCAAAGACTTGTTTAAGGACTGGGCCAGTGGCTCACACCTGTAATCTCGACACTTTGGGAGGCTTTGGTGAGAATCACTTGAGGCCAGGAGTTAGAGACCAGCCTGGGCAACATCGGGAGACCCCACCCATCTCTACAAAATACAAATAAATTAACTATGTGCGGTGCGTGTGCCCGTACAAAGGCTGAGGCAGGAGGATCACTTGAGCCAGGAGTTTGAGGCTGCAATGAGCCATGAACACACCATTACCCTCTAACCTGGGGGACAGAGTGAGACCCTGTCTCTAAAAAAAAGAAGTAAATGAAATAATAATATCTAGAACATAGTAAATGCTTAGTAATTGCTAGCTGCTGTTATAATCTAGGCTGCAGTGTTCAAATATATTCGCCACTAGTACATGTGGCTATTTAAATTTAAATTAATTACAACTAAAAATATTCAATTCCTCAGTCACTTGGTCACATTTCAGGAGCCACACTGACTCATGGCTGCCACACTGGACAGTGCAGGTGTAAACATTTCCACATCACAGGAATTTCCACTGCACAGCACTGACTAGAGAGTCCAAGTCTTTCTGCCCTTATAATTCTTCTAAATTGATGAATAAAAGAAAATCATCTCCTAAACGACAGCAGTTCACAGACTTCAAATCATATCTCACTCCTTTTGTAGACTCTTTTTACAAAAGGAATGGCAGCATATGGGAGGGGAAGGACAGGAAAGCCTGACCCTGCCATGGACCACGTGTCAGGGTAGGAAGCTTTACCTACCATGAAGGCACTGCACACTTGAGCCAGGGAAGTTTTTTGTTTGTTTATTTGAGTTTGGGTCTTACTCTGTCACCGAGGCTGGAGTTCAGAGCTGTGTGCGATCATGACTCATCGTAGCCTTGACCTGTTGGACTTAGGTGATCCTTTCACCACAGCCACCAGAGTAGCTGGGACTGCAGGTACATGCTTATTTTTTTATTTTTTGTAGAGATGAGATCTCAATATGTTGCTTAGGCTGGTCTCGAACTCCTGAGCTCAAGCAGTCCTCCCACCTCGATCTCCCAAAGTGTTGGAATTAAAGGATGAGCTACCACGCCGAGCTGTGATGGAGATTTTATGTTGCATAGATATCCAACTTTGCCTAACTGAAGGATTTTCTTCATTGTCTAGATTGAAGGATTCCTGCCACTTGTTATAAGGGGAAAAAGAACATGGTTCTTTTTCTTTTCATATCCGAGATAACTTGAGAACCAAATCTTTGGTTTAGTGCAGTTGAGCCTTCTTAATTTAAGACTGACTTGATTGTTCATAAAGCCAATTACATTAAAATTCTCACCATTGTTTGGTTGTGGTCATTACTTTGCAGCCTCAGTCCAGTTGATAAATGCAATGTAGAAGAACAATCAAAACACCAGAGGAATGAATACAGGAAGATAGTGTTTATGAGGGTATCACACGAAGAATTTTTCCTTTCTTCTCTCACCAGATGTAGAAATTAAATTAGATGAAGAAGGATTTGTATTACCAGTTACAGTTGATGAAGATGTCCATAAAAGGTAAAGAAAACAACTGTGGTTTTTATGTTACAAGACTTGTCGAGGTTAATACACAATGATCTTTTTCTTAAGACATCATTCTAGAAATTGAAATACTACTCAGCATACCATCTTTGGAAATTCCCTGTAATGTTTTATAAACATTAATATTAATAAAATTTATAATATTAATATTTTTTCCATAGTTTAAAGGATAACCTATTCATAATTTATTTGAAAATAATATTGGCACACAGGAATAGCCACATATATGCATATTTTGGATGATTTTAAAAATTAAGTTTCTTTCTCCTTTTTGATTTTTCAGGGTAGCATTGTGCATTGATGGTCCAAAAAGATTTTGTGCGGATAGTAAACATTTACTAGGAAAAGAAGCTATTAAACAAAGACACCTACAGTTACTTGGTTACCAGGTTGTTCAGGTGTGGTTTCTTCTTCTTTTTTTTTTTTTTTTTTTCAAAATCAGTTTCTAATTAAGATTTGCATTTTTTAGGGTACTAGTAAAAAGTAAACTGAGGCACAGTAAAATTTTAAAGAGTTTATTTTGGCAAACAGTGATTCATGAGTCAGATAGTATAAGACTAGCAGTGGTCTGGGAGCACAAAGGGAGAGGCTTTTATCAAAAGAACACAAGTAAACTAAGGCAATATTTGATAAGTTACAGTTGTATAGTTGTCTCATTTGAGCTGTGCTGTGGAATGTCCCCAAGCTATATGATGACAAGTTTATGAGATGCTTCTGATTGGTTCAGCATAAGTTCTGTTTTTCTCTAATACAAGCATTTACACAAAGTAACTTAAGTTGAATTTCACTTAACATTTACACTTGAGGCAAAATGAAGGTTATCTTTCAAGACCCAACTGGCATTAGGGATTTTTTAGGACCGGTCTCCATGTTAATTTACTTTAATAGTCCAGTGAACCACAAATCTTATGTCTAGTTTAAATACCAGCGTTGTTCATTTGGCCTAAATCTCCTGACTCGTATTTTCAAATACAGCATTCTCAAAGCTTTGGTTTTCCAAAAGGAGGGCACACTGTGTTCTTTATAAGCTTATGCTTAACTCTACTTTTAGAATTACTAATTACTGGAATGTCTGTTTTAATTTCCCTGATTGAATGAATAAAAATGGACAGTGTAGCCCATTAAAGCCAGAATCCTTACCAGTACTTAATATTTATTTATTTATTTATATATTTTTTTTGAGTTGGAGTCTCACTCTGTTGCCCAGACTGGAGTGCAGTGGCACGCTCCCGGCCACTGCAAGCCTTGATCTGCTGGGCTCCGGCAATCCTTCCGCCTCAGCCTTCCAGGCTGGAACTACAGGCACGCACTACCACTCCCGGCTAATTTTTTGATTTATTGTAGAGATGAGGTCTTGCCAAGTTGCCCAGGCGGGTCTTAAACCCGCGGGCTCAGGCAATCCACTTACCTCAGTCTCCTAAAGCGCGGGATTACAAGCTGAGCCACCAAGCCGGGCTAAGACTTAATATTTAGACCTGCTTAGTGTTTTCACTGCAGATCATGTACTAAGGTACTGTGTGAGGAGTCAATAGTACATGTGAGGGCTTCCCTGATTTCTAAGGCAACTCTCTGCTTTCATAGCTGTGACTTTTTTCACTGTCTGGCTCATTCCCAGGTTAATTTTCCTAATCATGCGAGTGTGTGCTTGGAAACCTTCATTGTTTATCCCTTATAGGAAAAAGTAACTGAAAAGTCACCCACATCTGATGAAATGTCGACTCCCTCTCAGCACTGGGTCACCCATCTGCTGCTTGCTCTCTATAGCTGTTGTGTAATGTAACTTACTACTTCATTCGAGAGCTCCTGGAACAAGGAATTGGATTTGATTCTTACATAGATATTCCATTTATTAATTCAGCAAGTATTTACTGTGTCTCCTTAGTGGCAGAACCGTTCTAGGCACAGGGGATATGGGATAAGGATGCTGGTTGAGACCTTTCCCCTCCAGGAGCCTACATTCTGCTGTGGGGGCCTTGTGAGAGACAAACTAGGTAACACAAGAACCAAAGTAGTCTCCGATTGTGAAGAAGTGTGACTGGTTTTACTTTCCTTCCCTTACAGATCCCCTATCATGAGATTGAGATGCTAAAATCAAGACTTGAACTGGTGGAATATTTACAAAGAAAACTGTTTTCTCAAAACACAGATGTACATTGGTGAAAAGAAGGAATGCTAGCTTCATAACTCATATAGTGAAAGAATGGTTTTATGGAACACAATGCTTTAAAAGAACATAATGTAAATTAACCATTTTGCAGAATTATGTTTGTAGACTTCCTGGTGACCTAGAGAGGGCCTAGAGTTTTCCTTATATCTTGTATACATTTGTCACGGGTACATTTAAAATTAATTTAATTTTAATTTAATAATAGTTTCATAGATACTTTTTACACATCAAACAATTGTTCATGTGTGATAAATCCAATAATAGATATAATTTTTAAATATTTTGTAATAGTTATCTGCTAAATGAAAACATTTATTGTTTAAAGACCATTGTTTTCCAGGAAATGTAAGACAGACATTTTCTCCCTATCTTCTGTGTTTGGTTAGTGGAAGTGTGATGGATGGTAAGGAGAAGGAGCAATGTACTTTGGAGACACACATTTATAATTATGGAATTATGCAGAAATAACACCTAGTTAATGAGATATATTAGTATGGGAACTCTAAAATAAAATAAAGGTATAGAGAAGTGAAAAAACAATTTAGGTTGGGATTTTTTAGGAGGTTTTTGGAGGGAGAATCCTCTTCTAAATTTTAAATCAAGAATGAACTGAATTGTCTTTAGTTCACATCAGATGCTTCATTGTCTTATTATGGTCAGGTAAAGTTTCAGGGGAAGAGGACAAGGCAGACTGGAGTAGTAGAAAGAGCATAAAAGTTGGATACTTGAGTTTGGCCACCAACTGGTGCTGTGACCTTGAACAAAGACAGCTACCATGTGTTCACTCACGTTCGAGCCTGTGCTGAGCACTCCAGCATGATGCTTGCATGAATGTCCCATGCCTTCTGGTTTAGGTGTTGTTCCCATTTTACAGACTATTAGACCAGCTCAGAGAAGTTGAATGTTCTACCTGATATTTCATTCATCACCAGTGATGAACATAAGATTTGAATCTGTCCCTGAGAAGCAACGAGCATATTGCTAAAATCTCAGTTCCAGAATCCTGCAGCATGGGTTTGAGTTCTAACCGCAATGGTGCCAATGGTGCCACTGCACTCCAGCCTGGGCAACAGAATGAGACCCTAACTCAAAAAAAAAGTCCAAAAGCAAGGGGTCAGCAGGGCCATACTCCCTATGAAACCTCTTAGGAAGGAGATTTTTTGCTTCTTCCAGCTTCTAGTAGTCCCAGACATTTCTTAGTTTGTGGTAACAAAACTAACCTGTCTCCATCATCACGTGGCCGCCTTTCCTTTGTGTCTGTATGACCCTGTTCCCTCCGTGGCCTTTTGTGCCCATGTGTCTCTCTTCACGTGGTGTTTCCCATGTGACTGTGTCCACATTTCCCCCTTACCGGGATGCCAACCCATTAGATAAAGGCTTATTACTCTGATGACCTCCTCTTGATAAATCTACCAAGACCGTATGTTCTGAGAAGGTCACATTCACACATACTGAGGGGGCAGAACTTTCTGGAGGAGGGACACAATTTAACCTGTAACAGGTAGAGATGAGAATTAAGCTAGTCAATTTCTATAAAACACTTTAAAAAGTGCCCTGCATGGAGTAAACAGCATGAGTGAGCTGGTGTTCGTCTGAATTTTTACCCCATTATGCTATATGCCTCACATTAGTTTTTCGAGTCGATTTAGTTTATGACTTGGGAATGGAAACTATGTGCCCTCCGAGATCACCTTTTTAAAGTATGCATCTTTGAGGACAAGGCATGAGCCAACGGAAGCAAATGCAGATTGAAAGAAGGAGGTGGCCGGGCTTGGTGGCTCAGCCTGTAATCCCGCGCTTTGCGAGGCCGAGGTGAGTGGATTGCCTGAGCCCGCGGGTTCGAGACCCACCTGGGCAACTTGGTGAGACCTCATCTTGACAATAAATCAAAAAATTAGCCAGGTGTGATAGCCCGCCTGTAGTTCCAGCTACTTGGAAGGCTGAGACGGAAGGATGCTGCTCCAGTCTGGGCGACAGAGTGAGACTCCAACTCAAAAAAAAAAAAAAAAAGGTATGGGGATTCTGACTTGCCCGTGTGAGCTTGCCACTCACCCCAGGCCTGTCTCAAAAGGACTCTCACATTTCTGAAATCTGGGCAGTTCACTGCCGCATACTATTTTACAGCTTTTACATGACATGCAAAGATGTTCTTGATTGTGACTTAAGATCTGTCCTGGACCATGTCAGACCTCAGAAACACCTTTCAAGCGCTTCCCCGCTGCTAAACTCTAGTCCTGTGTCATTCTCTGCTTTTTGCGAGCTCTGGTTCCCTTCTGGGCCCAGCCTCGACTGCAGCTCCCTGCCTGGCCCCCAGTCTCCCTTCACTGCACTGCGCTCCTCTCCCATGACACGACTCATCCTTGGCATGAAACTCAACCCTGAGATGTGGAGTGAAGTTAAAAGCTTACAGCTTAAAGAGGGGAGAGGGATTTAATCAATTAAACAGCCACACAAAGGTCGTGACAACCTGTGAAAAAATGCTGTGTAGAAAAAGCGCAGCCTGCAACGGTTATCTACATCTTCTGTCAATCTAAGCCCTTATCCTTAATCTTTTTCCTGGTTGCTCTAATCAGAATCAGATACTCTTTAACTCTGTCGAGGCTTTGTCTCACTCAGCTCTTTGCTGACAGTTAGTTCACTTATTCATTCACCAGATACCAAAGAATTCACTAAAGATCGTACTGGGCACACTGGATGCTCAAGCTCCAGAGGCAAGCAGGAAGAGCCCTTGCCCAGGAGGGGCTTGAAGTCGGGTGAGACAATGAGTGAGTGGGAGACGGAGTGGGAGACAGCTGGGACCCCTGACACACGTGCAAGACTCCAGGAATACAGAGACCTCAGGCAAAAGCCTCTCGGAGCGATCTGTAATCTGAAGTTCAGAAGGAAGAGAGAAGGGTCTATGGATGCAATCGCCGTGGCTGGAAGACCCCAGGGCCACACAGCATACGAGGCATACCCAGGGAAGGCAGCCAGACCAACTTCTGACACAGTTTAACACAAATGTTAATCCTGAAAAAAAAGATGCACGTGTGTGTTATGAAAATAATTTAGGCTGATAAATAGAAGGTTGCTGGTTTCACCAACTAGAGTGAATTTGACAAGCGCTCAAATTAGAAAGCCATAAACTGAGCCCTCATGCCGCAGAACAAGGACTGTTTATACACATGCAAGCAAAAGTGATGTGAATGTGCAATTACATATCCAACCCGATAGCTCTTGGTAGCATATATTTGATGATATTTTTTGAATAATCCATGACCTTGCTGTATACGTTTTCAAAAGTAAAGCAAAAAAAGAAAATGTGAAAAAATCGTTTTACTTGTAAGAATAGCCCTTGAAGCAAGTTATGTTCTTTGTGCCAATCACTAGGGGGCAGCAAAGTTCAAGGCATTGACTGGACTGCAGGGGTTGAAACTCAATGGTCCTGGGAGAGTAGGTCCTCTGTGTGTGTGTAGAATGCAGGAAGGAGCTGTGGGAGAGTGTTGTACGTGAGTTGTGTGTAGGTGGCAGGCAGGAACTGTGGGAGAAAGTGTGTATGTTGTATAAGTGTGTGTAGACAGTAGGCAGGAGCTGTGGGAGACAGGTGTGTTTGTGTGTGTAGATGACACACATGAGCTGTGGAAGTGTGTGTGTGTAGATTGCCGGCAGGTGCTGTGGGAGAGTGTGTTGTGTGTATTGTGTATGCGTGTTGTGTGTAGGTGGTAGGCAGGAGCTGTAGGAGGGTGTGATGTGTGTGGGCTTGTGAGCATAGACAGCAGACAGGAGCTGTGGAAGAATGTGTTGTGTGTGTGTGGACAGCAGGCAGGTGCTGTGGAGGAGTGTGCTGTGTGTGTGTTGTGTGTAGAGAGCAGGAAGGAGCTGTGGAGCATGTGAGCGTGTGTGGATGGCAGACAGGAGCTGTGGCGGCGTGTGGTGTGAGTGTGTGTGTGTGTGTGTTTGTGTGTGTGTGTGTGTGTGTTAGATGGCAGGCAGGAGCTGTGACGGCATGGTTTTGTGTGTGTGTGTGTGTGTGTGTGTGTGTGTGTGTGTGTGTAGAAAGCAGGCAGGAGCTGTAGCGGCATGTGGTGTGTGTGTGTAGACAGCAGGTAGGAGCTGTGGCAGCATGTGGGGTCTGTGTGTGTGTGTGTGTGTGTGTGAGAAAGCAGGCAGGAGCTGTGGCAGCGTGGTGTGTGTGTGTGTGTGTGTGTGTGTGTAGACGGCAGGCAGGAGCTGTGGCACTGTGGTGTGTGTGTGTGTGTCTGTGTGTGTGTAGATGGCAGGCAGGAGCTGTGGGAGAGTGTGGTATGTGTGGGTAGATGGCAGGGAGGAGCTGTGGCAGCATGTGGTGTGTGTGTGTGTCTTTGTGTGTGTGTGTGTGTGTGTGTGTGTGTGTGTGTGTGTGTGTAGAAAGCAGGCAGGAGCCGTGGTGGCGTGTGCTGGCAGTTCTGCCAGAAGCACCGCGGCAGCCTTCCCTGCCCTTCCCCAAGTAAGGCTGCCCTTTGCTGGGTGCACGCGGACTCTTGGTGAACACGTGTCAGATGGAAGGAAAGGCCCAGGGAGCAGGCTCCATCACATCTGACGGGACTCTGGACGAACGAGGAAGCTGTCCGCCCTTCAGACCAAGGTGCACTCAGGGAACTCTCAGTGCAGACCAGAGAGAGCTCTTGGCTCAGTGAGGAATGAGGCAGAAGAGCCTCTGAAGACTGAGAATCCCCCGGCTGGGAATGTGCCCCGATCCACTTGGAATCAAACTACTTTGTGCAGGATGGTGGCACAAGACACGGCTCGGAAATTGTTCACCCAGCGCCTGGAAAATGGCAGACACTCAGCGAGCACGGGGTCGTTACTGGCACATGCGTCATCTTCCACCCTCAGTTACACATTATCATACAGCTCATGGTGGGGTTCATGTAAAGAATGGTCGGCAAGAAGGAACACGGCTGACTTGCTGTCAGTACTTCTGGGGTCCCCCTGAGCCTGTGACAATTGCCTGGGTCAATTAGCACCAAGGACAGAGTGTGGAGAAATCTCTGAAACCTTTGCTATTTTAAATCAAATCATCTATAAAATGGAACAACCCACCATTTCCTAAGCCACATGTGATCTGAGTCACATGGGCCAGTCTGACATGAAGAAGAAGCATTCATTTCTCCCCCCGCCCCCAACTGCAAAGCTCCAGATGCCAGAGTTTGGGACACAACATTCCAAATGCATCTTCATTTAGGATCCTACATCCAATTCTCAGGCCAGGCATAGTGTCTCTCCTTCGTCTCTCCAACCCAGTCCTTAAATGTTTCTCAAACCCACCCCTCGCCAAATCCCACAACAGCCCTGCCTGTTCCTGTGTTTGGCTAGATGCCTCCCCGGCTGCGACAGTCAGGAAGCCTAACTGTATGTGGATGTTCTCTGACTGCAGGGTTCATCAAAAGAACTTCTGCCTTCATCTGGTACTTGTAATCTCATCTCAGAAAAAAGCAAGCATCTCCCTCCCCAACAGCGACCATGGTCCCTGGCACAGACTGCACCCTGTTTGTGGGTGGAGCTGAATTTTGGGTTCTGAT